GGAAAAAATGCTAAACGCATGTGTGTTTCACTCCTCACAACTTTCCCGGCTGGTTGCATGCGTCCTGTTGGCTCTCCGTCCGTGCGTGCTGCATGCACGTCTACCCACACTAAACACGCAACCGTAATATTGTTATACATCTAATATACCAGCACATACATGCATACATACGCACATACATATATATCAACACATACATGTCCTCATTTTTCATCGGCAGCAATTTGATATTTAATAAGCCCAACACAACAAAACAGAAAAGTAGCACACATCATACACACATGCATTTTATGGATATGCATGGAGGAACAAAACACGCAACCCCACATACAAAAGAATAATAGAGCACGCTTGTAAACGTGCAGTAAATGACCAAGTAAAGATATCCTGGCAGGCTGTTCGCCTGGGCCACTGGCCGGATCCTGAAATTAAATATAAACAAAATACGAGAATGAGAAGGGGGTAAATAAAAAGGCAGTGGGATCGCCACTTCCTCAATGTCTGCTCCAATTAAATAAATTTATGTATTCTGATGGCCACCCTCGTGGCACGTTACGCCTTGTTAGAATTAAAACATTTATTACTTAAGGCGTGCTGGATTTTGGGGACTTCCAGCCAGAAGACCCCGCCGCGAGGTGGAAATCGGAAAAAGAGGGTGAGTGAAGTAATGAAAACTAAAAATAAAAATAAAAAAATTCCGTCTTGAAGTTCTCGGTTTCTTGACTCCTCAACCCGCGATCCTCCAACAATTAATAAGGAAGAATCGAAAAATATACATATTCGTTTTATTAAAATGTTTATCAAGTTAGATAGCTAGCTTTCCTCGCGAACACCCTCTTCACAAGCTCCTAAAAGCCCGCTAGCACACAATGAAAATATACGTGTGTAAAGCACATCATCAAAAATGAACAAAGTAGCGGCGCAGCAACACAAGCAATATTACGGGCGTACCGCTTGCATGTCGTTGGGCGCCGTCGTTGTTCGGTTGCCGGCATTCTCTTCCCCTTCCTGCGGCCCCGTTCCAACAACGGGGTAATTATTCACCGCCAAGAGCCCTTCCGCTGTCCTCGCCTTCAGACGGCGCCGCTCCTCAAGCACCACACGACTCAATCGGCGGTACCCCCAGTCAAAATAAACCGTAGAAAGAAACGCGGTGAAATTGAGGCCAATGAAAGATAGCAGGGGCATCATCACACAACTCCGGCCAAGGCAAACGTTGCCGCCCTGCTTCTCAGCCTCACGCGTGTACCACT